TTGTTATAATATATGGTCATATTAAAAAGGTGTTAAGTGAGAAGTGTTTGGATGAAGAATGCGGGGAGAGCATGGGGATGGAGAAAGCATGTTCTTCCACTTTAAAGAAATCTTCTATAAAAATAGTATCTGCACAGAATATATTTGCTGGGGGTGCGAGTTCACATACACAAAAAGCCCTTTGACTGTTCCCTTTGTGCTTTTAAATATGTAACAAATCAATAGGGTTTGTTACAGAGATATTTGGAGATTTGAGAAATAAATGGAAGCAATATTTTTAGGAACAAAAACAACAACAACAAAAAATGAGTCTCAAGCAGTTTTTCATCCCTGAAATGAAAAGCAAGCTCATAGAAAATCAACAAGGGTATTGAAAACCCTGACATACTTATGGCTATTCACAAACTCACCTCTGATTCACTTTGCATCAAAGGTCTCTTTGGGATTACATCCACTAGACTTCAAATTTAGGAGGATAATAGAGCAAAATGTAGCAACTGACAAGTGTGAACTACTTGCTTAAGATAGTTCATATTTCAACATTAGATCACATTTCATTCCTTTCGATGATGTCACATCTTTATGAAGCTAGATTTTTATTGATCACTGAGACACAAGTGGATAGTGCATAGAAATCAATCTGGAAAAGGAAATGAAGGTGGCAGCAGCCAATTTGATTCTATGTTTGAGAGGTTCCAGGAGCACAAATCCCTTAGACTTCTAGTAATTTATTAACTGTAGCTATCTAAAATTCAACTTAAAATACTTTTATTTTAATTCATGAGTATTGCTATTCTTTTCAAAATACCACTGCATTCTTAAGACATATTATTAAGTTGTTTGTACATGATTAAGTTGAACTACTTCATAAACAGAATGGTTAAGTATTTCTTTTGGCCTATCAAGTGCCATGAAACAATTATGGACACATTAAGAATCCTGGGAAACAAGGAGGTTTGGGAAACTCTGAGTCACATAATTTTATTATTTGACACTATTAAATCTGTTTATTTTTCTTTGAAAACAATCAAAACGGCCAAGTGACACTTTAGGAAGTTTATTCAGTATGTGTACATATGCATACATATGATTCCCTAAATCTGTAGTTAAATATTCCCCAGTTCCCCATTTATCAATGAACGGAGGCAGGGTTTTCTTAGGTATTTGAGCAGTATGTACTCCTTTCCACAACTCTCTTTTATGGAGTCAGACTTCTGAAATTGCACATAGTAAACATGGGATAGAAACCCTTTAGTAGGGCAACTCCTAGTGATTTGGTTCTGAGAACCCAAGTCATCTGAAGCTATAAATGGAGAAGCATTTCATGCTGCTTGGTGGAGAAATTGATACTTCTCAGTTTGGCATTTCATTTCTGAATCAACCAAAGAAATGAAAATCACCCTCATCCTGGTCCTTATCTTGAGGACAGTGAAAATTATCTTAAATCTTTGGGGCAGCATTGTCTACCCAATTATTGGTACCTTTCCCTTCACCATCATCAAAGTCTTCACTCTTTGGTGTGTAACTCAAATTCCCATTTCTTCTGAAGTTCTTCCTTAGTTTCCCAGATGCAATTTGTAAAGTCTTTCTTTGTGCATATATTTATTCACTGTTATTGTTTCTATGGGGTTTCTTCCTAGCTTATAAATTTAGTTCGAAATAGGAATTTCTCAGGAATTTTTTTTCAAATTGTTCTAATAGCCCTCATAATCTTAGGACTTAACACACAATAATCTTTCTTTTCAAAAAATTTCATTAACAAGTTATTATTATTACCCACTGCAGTATTTCTTAAATATTATGAGACATATCAGAAATGATAACCAGTCCTCTAACATGATAGAGTAATTGCATGAGGTTGTGACTATGAGGCTGACTGGCTCCGGCCACTCCCACATTGGAGAGGTATCCATATTTCAGCACACCTTTAAGCCACCTGCGGCATACTGTGCACTCCAATATATTAATTAATAAGCTGAATTTTATTATATTTCAGTTATACTAACAACTTTGTGTAAAATTTACAGAAGAAACCCTATAAGTATTATAACAAATGTAATACTTAACACAAAACTCCCACAAAATCTCTTTCCTAAAATCATTGAGTTTGCTGTTTAATGGTTATTGAAAAACTGCAGAACTTGTCACTAAATCTATTTTACCCTAGGGCTTCTGCTCTCAGGGGAATCTTCTGAAGCAAAGACATTGAACATGGATCTTTTGAGATTCTACTAGCATAAAAATTTCTTGTTCATGAAGGATATGCTGATTTATAGCACAGGCTAGGTGCATAAATGAATGGGTCTGGTCAATCCAGGGTAAGAAACCGCATCATGTCATGTCACTCTGCCAAACATTCCAGCAGCTGTCCATTACATTTCTTATACAAAGTCCTTAACATGGCTTCCATGGATGTATGGTGTACATTGCTTATGTCTCTAACCTCATACAATCATTCTATCAATATTAAATATGTACCAATTCCAAGCATTTGGGATACATAAGTGAAGAAAAATAAGATCCTTGTCCTTATGGTATTAACATTATAATGCAAAGAGAAAACAGACAATAAACTGTAAAATAAACAGGCTTAGTAAAGAGAATGTTAGAGGTGATCAGGCTCTTGAAGAAAAAGTTGGGGGAGTTAAACGGCATGGATTGTAACAGCAGAAATGAGGACAGCGATTTTTTTTCTACAAAAATAATACTTTTATTTTAACACTTAGATAATATTTCAGGCTTTGTAGATCATACAGTATCTGTCACATGAGCACTCAGCTCTGCCCTTTGCTCAAAGGAAGACATAGACAACACATTAATGGGTGTGGCTTTGCCTTAATAAAATTTTAGGAAACTGGACTGATCTGGACAATAAACTGATGGCTGAGAGATGCCTCATTGAGAAGGTGAGAAAGACTTGAAGGATCTTTCATATCACTCTCATCTGGCTCACACTGCTCCATTCTGCTAATCATGTCTATAAATCAAACCAAGGTTGTTTTTGTTTTGAGGCTTTTACATTAATTAATCCTTCTACCCGAAACTTTCTACCCCAGATTATCGATTTTTTTCTTTTCATCTAGTTCTCAAATTGTATGTCACCAAACCAAAGATTATCTTCTTAAGTGTCCTTCCTGAAGACCCTACACAAAGTAGCATACCCCACTCAAAGTACTCTCCATCCCATTATCCCATACGGTTTTGATCATGAGATTTATCACCAGGTGATAAATATTTTTTAATTAGTGAGTCTGTTAGAAATCTGTTTTTATCTCTCTCTGAGTGTGTAAGTTCCATGAGGGCAGCAAGCTGTTCTCTTTTCACACGTCTAGCATATGCTCAGCACCTCCAGTAGTGTCTGGCACACCATAAGTATTCTATAAATATTGTTAAATGAATGATAAATGGATGTCATTCCCAAAGAGACCATCCAACATTCAGTTCTAGCAAATTATTACATAAAAGATTGAGATATTTGTTACCAGATATTCTTAGTTTTCAAGAGCTAGAAATCCAAATTTTTATGTGAAACAACTCAATTTTAAATGACTTTAATTCAAAACTATAAAAATACTTTGCATATTAAACTAAATAGTTCAGCAAGCTAGTTCCCTGAGACTTCTGCCATACACAATCATGGGTTAAACCAGCTGACGTTTTTAGTAAAGTATCTTCTGCAATGTGCAATGTGAAAGGTGACTTAAATGACTTGTTATCAAAGGCCAATGGCTGGGTACTGTAGTACTAACAACTTCTGGCTCCTACTCTTATTCTATTCCTATAAGAACTACAAGTTAAAATTGTTTTTTACTGAGGAATCAATATGCTCTAAAGAAATGTGTGCATGTATTTCAAGCATAAAATTTCAGAAAATATATTACCTTATGGAATTTTTTTTTCACTCATGATTTTTACTTGGGTTTGCCTATAGAGGTAAAATTCCCAAAACTTTGGATATTTGTGGCATAATTTGCACGTAAAATAACAGAAAGGATCATATTTCATTGATTCAACAGTGTACCTCTGAGCACTGTGCCTATGATATTTTATAAATATGTATTGTTTGAATCAATAGAATATGCATTAATTATGATATTTGAAAAATAGGTGTAACTGAGTTAAGAATATTTTGAATAACTCTGTACTATTGGAGAAACAATTTTACTCAACCATGAATGTTAAAATCTAATATTTTAACACAAATTCAATATATATGGATAAGAGCTGAATCTGTACCAAATGAAATTATTAAATGACCTAAGGTCTCAATTCTGAGTGTGCTATAAAATGCTAATTATAGATGGTGAATGCCAAGTATTTTACATTTATCATTAATGTTTACCTTGAAAGGAAAACTTTATTATCTTTACTTTTGGCATCAAACAACTAAGGTGTGAATAATTTATAGTCTTTGTCCAGGGTCACACAGGCAGTAAAGGGCAAAGCCAGGGTTTGATGCTCTCGAACTACTCTGAAGACTATTGAGCTTTACCTGAAGCAAAGCCCAACTCTTGTTTCCTCAATCACATGATTGAAATAAGGTATTCCCTTTGCATTCACTTTTTTTTTTTTTTCTTTAAAACCATGGTGACATTGGGCACAATCAGTTCATCCAAGGGCTCACTTAGCTGATAAATGGCTGGTGAAAGCCATAATACAAATGAAAATATCCTCTACCCTCCTCACTGCATCACATTTCTAAGATTCCCATTTTCTCAGCTCTCTTGGTAATTTACATATTGATATTTGCATTATTACAGTGTTTTGTTCTAACATCATCTGGGCTATAAATGTTCCTTAAAAGCCTCTCTGTGTCCCTATGACTGACTCTGCTTCACAGTACACCTGAGAGTGTTGAGAATCTGGATAAGATTAGCTTTCTCGGTCAGTGATTTCATCTGTTAGCCCGAAAAACAACAATACAGGAAAACTGGTATTAAACCGTTTTTGTCAAAGCAAAGGTGTTTTGGAAATGAATAAATGTAAAAGAGCCAACACTGCAGTCTCTTGAGCACTTTATTTGTTATAAATACAAGTCAATACCACAAGATGGCACCTTCTTACTTTCAACACCTAGGATTACAAACAATTATCTTCATAAAATGGTCTCAGCTTTTTAATGTGTTGTTTTAGGTATTATTGAAACCTTATAAAAGCAAGACTTACTACAAACAGGATTGGTGTTCAATGTATATTAAATGAGGTCAGATAATTAAATTCAAGAAAAGAATTTATAAATATTCAGATAAGAAAATTGAAATTACAAAAGCAGAGTTTGTCATCATTAAACTGAATTACAACTGTGTGTGGTTAATGTTATATCTACACAGCTAAGTTTTTGTTAAAATACAGTTTTAGTAACCAAATAATTACCTCATTCTCCAATATAGCCACCTATTTTCATTTATACACTCTAACATTCGGTACACATTTCATTCAGAAACCACCTAGCTTTCAACTAGCCCAGCAATTACACACACGCTATTATCAACAGATGCAACCCATGAAGTGCCATCATCCCCTGGCTACAAAACAAAATACAATATTTAAAGGTAAAAACTCAGAGAATTTTTGAAATGGTAACCCATTCTCTGTGTTCATGAAAATAGGCAATCCAATTTGAAAGTCTTTGAACCAATGTAAACTCTAGAAAACTCATGTTGAAGTATGGGAAGAATAAAGACTTTGCACTAATATAGTGCATAACAATGCAATGTCAGACTCATCATTTACAGTAAATGCCTTGATTGGACTTCCTCTGGATTGTCATTATGCGGCTGAAGATCAAGTTTACTCAAGTCTGTGGGAATTCCATCATGTTTTCTTCCTTTCATTTCCAAACAGGAAGAGAAGGGTTTTGGGTCCCTTGGGAAAACCAAAAAAAAACCAAAAAAACACTCACACCCACAAACAACTTGAAAACAAAATGGCAGACCTAATAATCCTTGACTCCATGTCCAAATGAAGTTGAGGCAATATTACTTTTGCAATATTTGTATTCTGCCCAATATATCACATCATGAGATTCCTCAAAAAACTGAGAAGTCTGAGAGCTACAAAAGTGAAAGCAGTTAAGGCAGTTGATGTCTACATTTGGATTTCTTTTTCAGGTTACATGTCTAAGTCTCCATCGTAGGCTAAGGTCAGAGGCTTCTGATGGGGAGGTGTGCTTTGATGTGGTTTTGGCTTCTTGCTGCAAAGGGAAAAGAATTCCTTAGATAAAATTCACAGAGCTCTGTTTCATCTGCCAATGACAATTTTGAAGTAGAGAAATTCAAGTATTAAAGTGACAAAAGATTCATTTCTCTGGATGTATGTGTGGGTTTCTTTTTTGAATACAGTCATGCATCACTTATCAATAGGAATACATTCTGAGAAATTGTTGTTAGGTGATTTTGTCATTGTGTGAGAATAATAGTGTATACTTACACAAACTAAGCCAGTGACAACACCACTAGGCAATTGAGTTTAATGAGACCACAGTCATCTATGCAGCCTATCTTTATCAGAAACACTATCATGTGGTGTGTGACTATATTATATACTTTAACCCTTTTTAAGAAAGAAGTCATCTTCTTCTTCCTCTTTTTTTTTTTTTTTTAATCTCCAGAATGGTTTAGAGGAATCAAGGAACTTGGTAGAAGGGTATTTTCATTTCTTATTTATACACAGAACATGGACATCTGCTGCTCACCAATTCCTAAGCGACTGTGACCTCCACATCACAGATGTTTAACATTGTAAGCAGCTGGAGCAGCCAGGCTCCTGTGCCTAACTCTGATCTTGTTTTTAAGCAAATATGTTTCAGCTCTGGTCTGAAACCTGACATTTAGCTGCCACATCACCATAATCTGTCAGGAAAATTTCACAAGTTCCAGGCAAAGCCATTGTCACCTGGTGTATGCTTTATCTGCAGTCTGTGATTTTGCCAGGAAGGGCTATTTTTCCTTCTCATAAAGAGAAGCTAAAATTGAGTAACATTCCCAATTCACACAGGGAGGCATTTTATTGCTTGTTTTTTAGTGTGCATAAATTTCTATTTATAAATATTTGTAACTAAAATTCTACCATGCACTCCCTTGTCCCATGGTTGTCTTTCCCCCTCCATGCCTTTGCTTTTCCATGCCTTCAGAGCCTGGCTCTCTCTTGGGCCATTCTCGGCAGGGACCCATCTCTTTTCTGGTCTCCACATATCTAGGCTACATATTTTATAGCAGCATCACTTATTTTTTGGATGCATACTAAGTGGCAAGTTCTGTGCTGAGCAGCTTACATCTTAATCTCTCCATAAACCCTAGAATGACCCTAAGAAGGAGGCATTAAGATTAACGTTAATTTACAAAGAAGGACTAGAGAGATTATTTACCTTCCCACAGGTCATTGGGTGAGCAGCAGAGCACAGATTTTATGGAAATCTAACAAGACCTAAGTTTTTAACCAGGTCACCACACATTCCGTATGTATGTGTCACTTATTTGGTACTTATTAGAAATGAGGAGTTTAAGGAGGCTGATACATAGTGGGATAGGGAGCAGGAGCATGGGAGAAATAGATGCACTCTAGATAGGGCAAAGGAGTTGGAGGGGAAGGGAGGGGACATAGGGTTATTAATGATGGTGGAATGTGATGATCATTATTATCCAAAGTACAGGTATGAAGACACGAATTGGTGTGAATATACTTGTATACAACCAGAAATATGAAAAATTGTGCTCTATATGTGGAATAAGAATTATAAATGCATTCTGCTGTCACATAAAAAAAAACAAAACAAAAAAAGAAATGATGGGTTTATCTGGATATAAATTAAAAACAAAAAATTTTAATGTGTGACATTTAGTGGCATTAACACAGTAACAATGTTGTCCACTGTTACCACTACCTAGGACCAGAACATTTTCCTCACCCAAAAGGTAATTCTGTTCTCACTGAGCAGTCTCTCCCCATTTCCATGTTCCCGTATTCTTGGGGAACCACTAACCAACTTTCTGCCTTGGTGGATTTGTCCATTCTGAATATCTCACGTCAGTTCTACCCTATGTGGCCTTTCATGTCTAGCCTCTTTCACTTAATGGTAAAATGGTGAAATTTATGCTATGTGAATTTTACCACAATAAAAAAGTTTGATGAAATAATAATAGGGAGAATCCTCTAGTTTAAAATGCTCGCGTTCTAATTTAAGGAGTAAAATTAAGTCTTCAGGTTGATGTTTGAAATAAATCGCAGAAGTTAAAGAGATAAAAAAGGATATTTTAAAAAACTACTCAAAGGAACCACAGATCATCCAAGTGACCCTCACCCCAGTACCTGACATGTGATGGGTGTTCACTGAGGACTTGCTGGGTGCATGGACAGTGGGTGAATGGCTCCCAGCCAGAGAAGCTAAGGAGAGGCAGCTGTGTGATTGATAGAATCCTCTGGAGAGGGAGTCTCAGCTTCCCATATCCTGCTTTCTAGGCCCTCTCCAGCTTTCAAGGGGTCTTGCATAATTACCTGAATAACATCCAATTTAACTTTATCCATTTTAATATATAAGCATGTTCCAATAGCTCTGATTATATACCAGTCCAGGCTCTAGAGTGGATAATAAACCCAGCTTCATACAGCATCCTGATCATGCTCATGCACAGCATTTCAAGGTACAAAGAAGTCACACACGAAGTTGAAGTTGGGACAACCTGGAAGTGACAGTTGGTGTATCGACCCTGGTGGTGGTGTATGTTTCCCTAATGATAAAATGAGCATGACGAATTTTAGCTGAAGTGACAATAAGTATCTTCCCTTCCCACCTCTCCTGTGCTGTTTCTGTGTGTGTGTGTGTGGGGGGGGGTGTGGCATGAGGAGAGGAGTGGTTGAGCACAGAGAAGAAAGGGGAAAGAAATGTAAGTGCTCTCAAAAAATTTTTTGCAACCCACCCTTTGCTGGCATTTACTGAAGGTTACTGCACAAAGAGAAATAGAGATTGATCATCTCCCCCTCCCTACCCCACTATGAATCGGCCTCCTTATATCAGAGAAAACATTTGACATTTGTTTTTTTTTAGGATTGGCTAACTTCACTTAGCATTATCTTCTCCAACACCATCCTTTTGAACTCTAGGGCAGAAGGGTGGGAGGGAAAGGAAGGGGGCAGGGGGTTAGCAAGGATGTTGGAATGTGATGGACATCATTATCCAAAGTACATGTATGAAGACATGAATTAGTGTCAATACTTTATATACAACCAGCAATATAAAAAATTGTGCTGTATATGTGTAATAAGAATTGCAATGCATTCCACTGTCATTTACTTTTTAAAAATCAATTTAAAAAGAGATTGAATCTAAGGAAATGGGAGATCTAGAAAAAGGAGAGAGGTGGAACAATAAAGAAGGCTGTATATAGAGATAATAATATCACCTGGGGAGACAGGTAAACTTGGCCAGGCTCTGTGAACTGAGTCTGGGATATTCTGCTGAAAATATAAATAGATGTTTTTATGCCAGTTTCCCTGTGTGGACTTATGAACATTGTATCCATCTCTGGACAGACAAGAGGGCCTAGGACTTTTGGGGCCATGGAGCATGCTGGGATGGGTATGATTAGAGCTTTTTTAATTGTAGACCTTTCCATATCGTGTAATCTCTCCACTGACAGATTCTGAAAATCTCAACTTAGAATATGTAATATCTGAGAACTTTTATAGAATTTAAAAGAAATCAACATCTTCTTGAAATTAATCTCTGAATATGGTTGCACACTGCTGGCCATCTGTGGCTTTCCAAAGCTTCCTGGCCAGTTAAACAGCCTCCTAAAAAGAGGAGCTATTAGGAGGCTTGTTCTTGGAGCCTGCAGGGTCCTTTCCTTTTTCCTTACTATAATCTCTGGTTTTTTTTCCCCACCCTTAAGGAATACAATTTTTGTTTTTGTTTTTTTCTCTCCAACTCTGGTATTAGGAAAGGTGGGGCCACACTAAATCAGGACCCAAAAATGCCTGGCACATAGGCCATCACCACCACCAGTCATTTGTGCCTAGCCTACACCTCTAATCCATCATACTCTTCCTTCCTGATGAGCCAAAGTGCAGCTCATCACTCTTCCTAACTGAGCACTTCTGACTGCCACCACTGCTGTTAGAGTTAGCACAAAGGATAAGACCATTTTCCTATCCTAGCTGTGAGAGATCATTGACTAACACATTTGAAGTGTCCTCTTCCAGGGCCATTTATTTGCATTTTAGCAAAGCATAAAAACACATTCCGACAGAAGAGTGAGCTCATTGTGGACTGTCAGGCGAGCTGTTGCACTTCTTAGAACCCTTGAATTCAGGCCATGAGGGCTCATCTTTAGGCAAATAGAGACTAAATAATTGGAAGAAAGCAGCAAAATCTTGTTTTGGCAGCTATTCCTGAAAGGCGAGCTTCTGGAAGTGCCACCACTTTTAAACTTGGAAAGAAATGAGAATTCTGAGAGCATGTTACTAAATCGTGCTGGGCAGGGAAAAATGGACACCATATCTGGAGTAACTTCCAGGCACTATGTCCTCACGGGTTAACTACAAGCTCTCACCCAGTGGTCATCTCCACTAAATTGCCTCACTGATATTTATTTCCAGGGTAAACTGGGGCATCAGTGATATTTCTAAAACTCCTAATACTAATGGCAGATGTTCAAAGGGTTGTATATTAAAGCAAACATCCTGAAGAAGACTATTTTTCTACATTTTCTCAAAGCCATTTCCAAGTTTTATTATAAATTGCTTTCATCTAAAGTATATACCTAAGACCTGCCATATTATAGCAGTTCTCTTGTCCTAAGCCTTTTATTTGGGTGGAAAATAGAAAATCTCCAAAACTGTCATCCTGGAACTCTCCTGAAAGCTATTTAATAGGATTAGGTGCTGTGAAAACATCTATTTGGATTTCTTTAGGCAGCTCATATGTAGCAGTAAATGGCATATGCTTCCAGGTCTATAGCTTACTTTACCTGTGAAATCAGGAACCTGTAGGAAAGGTGACAGCTGGAGACATGACATTGAATCTGAAGTTTTCAGGATGACTCAAGAAACTATAGAGACTGAAAGAACAGCAGAAGTGGCTTCCACTCAGGGGTTAGGCAAACCTACAGTTAATTCTACCAGGTTGGTGACTGCAGAGATATTATTTAATTTCTCTGAGGATCAATTACTCACTCCAAAATAGGGATGACAATAGCAACATCTCATTAGACCATCATGAGGACTGTATAAGGCAATGTATATAAAGTGCTTTATGTGACATATAAATATTAGATTTTTTTCCTTGACATTTTCCTAAAAGCCATGTGTAATAAGTTAGTTTTCACTAATCTACTCATTTATTTCACTAATCTACTCATTTACTCATTTATTCATTCACTAATTCATGTGTTCAGTAGATAACTTTTCAAATGTCTGCTTTAAAAAATCAATAAAATATAGTTATTACATATTTTATTGGGCTGTATCTCAAAACACTTGGATGAAAATAAATGTGCTAAACATGAGAATATAGTTGTTACAGCCCCCCTCTGGAGTTCTCGGGGTTTAGTGGAGTTGGAAGAAGTTTATGAAAATAACTACAATGTCAGCATGAAGTAAATATTATAGGGGAAGAGACATGAATAAGTTATTGCAGACTGTTTTGGAAGAGAAGGTTGATAATTGAGTTTGACTGGAGGAACAGGTTGAATGCCAATAGCTGATGATGAAAAGTTCATTCTAGAGTAACCCATGGAAGGTATAGCCTTCCCAGGAAATTGGAAGGATAACTTCCTCAGTGCCCTAATATTAAGTTATTCCACCCTGAAAATGATCCCTAAGAAAGAGGTCTGTTCTGGTTCAGATGTGAGGTGTCCCCCCAAAACTCATGTGTGAGACAATGCAAGAACATTTAGAGGTGAAATGATTGGGTTATGACAGCCTTAACTCAATCAGTGAATTAATTCTCTTATCAGGATTCACTGAGTGGTAACAAAGCAGATAGGGTGTGGCCTTGCAAGCATGCTGATGGGGTACATAATTTGTATCTGGTGAGTGGAGTGTATTGCTCTGCTTTCTGATCATCAAACCTCCATCACACACTTTTGTCATGATATCTGCTTCAGCTGGAACCCCAAGGAATGGAGCTGGCTGTCTATGGACTGAGACCTCCGAAACCATGAGCCCCTAAAGACATTTTTCCTCTCTCATAATTGTTTTTGTCAGGTCTTTTGTTCATGGCAATGAAAAAGCTAACTAAACCCACGCCTTATATCCAACTCTTATAAAATCTTTTATACCACATGGTGCAAAAAAGTTTCTTTTAAAAAATAGCCATTATAAATATAAACACAAAACACATAAAATGACCATGTCTCTTAAAATAGGTGAATAGGTAGTTGGGCATTAGAATGAAATCTCCAAGAGAGCAGCACAGATAGAAAGAAGCACTATATCTCAAAACACTTGGATGAAAGTGAATATGCTAAACATCAGAAATCAAATTTGTGAATAAGGAGACTGAAGCAATGACAAAGTAACTTATGTGAAAGATGTGAATGTGGAATAAAACTGTTATGAATATAAAGTTAAAGACATTTAGTATTTTAGAATAAAATATTAATATATAATGAAGGATCAGTGATGGGACTGTAGAATTAAACACATCAATTAAATATTAGAGCAGAAAACTTACTATTTTAATTGAAATGGAAACTTTTGTTAATTTCACCTAATATTTTCATTTTGGGCATTTTATTTTCCTCAATGAGAAAATGAAGACAAATATATTTGGGCCCACACAGCACACTAGATTTTCCAGAATACAGGGAGTCAGTACAAAATGAAATTGAAAGAGTTGTTTGGGATCCGATTGTGAAGATTTTGGCTGATTGGTTAAAAACCCAGAACATGACTTTGATTTTGCTGCCAGTGGGATTAGATGCCACTGCTGTGTCAGTGGGAGAGGGCTGACCACCTGGAGCAAAGTTTAGGACGATTAATCCTGCTGTAGACAAATATGTGGCTATTATGCAATGCCCAGAAGGGAATTATTAAGGACAGGCATTGGAGATGAAGAAATAGAGAAGAGAAATAATATGCATAAATATGTATATTATTTGGTCCTTGGAAAATAAGGGGTAAGTTCTACTGATATGGGAAACTATGTTACCAGAATTCAGTGATGTAACAAATTAACCCCCAGAGACAAGTTATACAGAAAAGGGCATTACTAAATATTTGTTACTAAAGGAATGGATGAGGTTAATACATTTTTAAGTTGGAGATAATGGGGAAAGCAAAAATGGCAAAAATTTATGTGCAGCTACATGTTTGTTTTTTTCTCTTAGATAAAAAAAAAAAAAAAAAAAAAAAAAAACTTGGGCTGGGGATGTGGCTCAAGTGGTAGCACGCTCGCCTGGCATGCGTGCGGCCCGGGTTCGATCCTCAGCACCACAAACAAAGATGTTGTGTCTGCCGAAAACTACTAAAAAAACTCTCTCTCTCTTTCTCTCAAAAAAAAAAAAAAAACAACTTGTATAAATTCTACAATAAAATCTGGTTTTGGAAATGTGGTTATTAATAGTTAAAATTTATCCAAGATATTTTGTTTTTTTGATATATATATATATATATTGTTGATGGACCTTATTTTATTCATTTATTTATATGTGGTGCTGAGAATCAAACCCAGTGCCTCACATGTTTGAGGCAATCTCTCTACCACTGAGCCACAACCACAGCCCATTGAGGATCTTTAAATGTTTTTTATTAGTGCATTCTACCTGTACATAATAGTGGGGTTCACTGGGACCAAATCACACATGCATGGAATATAATTTTCTCCCCATACAGACCAATAGACTACCTGATTATCTTGTGTCTTAGTTACCTGTTACTTTAAGAGCTGTTTCCTGTATGTCAAACCTCCATGCCCTCTATTGCAATTTAGTCTTTTCTCCTTTTCCTAAACTTTTCTGATGATGAAAGTTTCTGGTCATTCTAAACCTCATACAAAGTTTTCAAATTCACATTTGATCATTAAGATTGGTTCTAGGTAGTAGTTGCCAAGCTTATCAATTGAAACATATAAACTGGTCAAATCATTTGATTATAGGGTGAATGACTAGCTGAAGACATTTATTACTTTTCACTACAACATTCTAGAAATGTTAGTTGGCTGGAAATCCAATTTCTAGGGAATCAATTTTTATCACAATAGGTGGCAGAAAGAATTAAAGTCATCTTATTTTCTTTGCCAACTTTTACTGACCAAGAGCAAAGATTTAAAAACCTGTGTAGCCTTGGAAACAGCAGTTGAGGCTAAATATACAAAGGCTAGATTTGAATTAAGATTTGGGTTAAAATTTTCAAGGAAGTAGTTTATGAGGCCAATGATGACTATGAATATCTTAATTTGTAGAAAAATATGAAATAACACTTTGACTTTATGAAAAAATCCTCAAAAATTATGCTTTGTAAGGCAATAAAATATTCTTAGCATACTTGAAACTGTTTAAATGTATTTACTTCTATATGATTTCAAGAGGTCTGCACATCAACTAAAATATATTCTATACAGTAAACTAATTATCATTTTCTGAGAATAATAATTTTTTTATAATTTCTATTAAGAACTAGTCACAGAATGGGCTTCCTGAGATTGATAATTAAATTTTCTCTTATAACCTGTCAGTGTTGACAAGTACTTGACTCTACTACTTAAGATGCACTAAGAGGTAGTTTAAACCAACTGGTTAGTATAACATAACTGGTCAAAATAGATCAAGTTAAAAACAAAATTTAAAAACTAGAATTGAGTAGTGTTTTCAGTTTAGGGAGCAGATTAGAATCAACTGGGCAGCTTTTATACACCCAAATGACACAGCCATACCTTAAATTAATTGAATTAAAATCTCTGGACCAATATGCATTGAGACTAAAACCTACTCTTCTAAATCAAAGTATTAAGTAGAAAATCTCTAATGAACAATTTTTCCTAGACACCTGGTATTATTCAAATACCAAATAAAATAAAACTATTTATATATTTATATATTTATGGGAGCAACACCATAACAATCCTCTATTTCAACTATTTAATCACTCTACTACTGGAGACTATGGTCTCAAGGATCCTATTATAATGGTCAGTGATCTTGAAATATGTTTGCTTTTAGTTTAACATACCACACATTTAAAAATAGAGTATATGTTTTTTACTATTTAGTACTTACCAAACAAGGTAGGAAGTAAATATTAGGAAAATCATGATAAGAAAACCGCCACCTGAAACGCCATAAACCCAAATTTTTACTCGGCCATCTGTTTAAGATAGAGATAACATAACAAGCTTAGCATAAGATGTCTACAGCATTTCAGACAGAGAGAGAGTGTGTAACATAATGTCTAACAATCATAAGCTGATTATCAGTTCAAGACTTGAAATGAACACCAGCACCTTAAGCCAACTGAGCACTCAACTGCATAAATTAGCGACATCCTGGTATTATCTGTGAATTGTTAGGAAGTGACAATGTTTTCTTTTGAACATCTTAAGGGATATGCGATCTCTACTAGAAAATATCTTTGGGAAAAGACAAACTCCAAATTGTATTACATTGTACTGCTTTTCATAGAATTTTATAGATACAAACAATTTGATTTGCTATGTCTGACCTCTGTCAAATTGACCCTAAAAACATTAGGTTGTAACTATATGGCACTAAAACATTTATTTTGCTGAATGTTTTATTTTTCACCTAAACTGAGAGATTTGGATAGTTATAAGTATAGGTGGAAATACCAATAGGTGAAGATGCCAAGGGTAAATGACAATAACAATAACAACAAAATCAGGTAGAGATGTAAGCTATGATATCATCAAATATTTTCATAATGTGAAGGCAATACTTACAATCACTATTTCTCCAATCAAATCAATTTGCAGGAAATTTTGAATTTATTTGAAGTTGCTAATAGTCTTATGCATATCAGAAAAAATATTGCAAAACATTTTGACAACATAAAAAGATCAAAAATTATAATCAAAAGATAATCCTGAATGTCTCTTAATTCTGCACGCAAAGGAACTAGTCTGATCATTTGGCAGATAGGGTGTGGCTAGAGAAAGTAAGTCTCTGGGGGCTTATCTTTGGGGGTTATGTTTTGTCTCTGGTAAGCAGAGAGCTCTCAGCTTTCTGTTGCCATGTCTTGACTGCTTTTCTCCCCACACCATTCTGCCATGATGTTCTGCCTCACCTGGGGCCCAGAGCTTTAGAGTCAGTACCATGGACAGAACCTCTGAAACTGAGCAAAATAAACTTTTCCTCCAATACATTGTTCTTGTCAGGTCTTTTGGTCACAGAGACAAAAAAGCTGACTGAAACAACCACAATCACTTTCAGTTCTAGTACAATTACATATTATAGTTTTTGCTTATTGGACACTTTTAAGCCTTAGTGGGTTTTGAGTGCAGTAAGGATATTTTTCTATGATCATAAAACTTTTGATTCCAATTTCTCTGAAACACTAATTATGAAATGTCCTATTTTCATATTTCACATTGGCAACAATAAACAAATAAATGAATAAGTAAAAAGTCTTCTTTGGGCAAGAATGTTCTTTCTATCTCTTTGACTGTAAAACCTCACAGAGTTGATGTATTGGGATGATCCAGTGCTTTTAAATCCCCAATGTAGATACATGTAATGGTCCAAGACCTTTAAGTTGTGTTACTTTAAAATGAATTTAATGAATAAATAACTTTAATAAGCATTTTTATGATACAATAATGGATAGCATAACTATTCAGTCTATTATACCATTAAAGCAGTTAAAAATATATAGTAAAAATGTCTTTTCATCATTCTCTCTCAGTTCCCTACTTAGGAGCTACAACATTCCCAATTTGTATTTTCAGTTTTGGTTTGCATATTCAAGCATATGAATACACACACAAATTCATAACCTTCTTTGAAAACTACAAATGATGCATATCATTCCTTTTGATCTGTACTTTTTCCTTCACTAAAAAATAAAAATTCACTAAAAATATATGTCCATGTTAGTTCATTAAACCAGGTCTACCTTATTTTAGTACCCCTGTGAGATACCACTGCACAGCTATACCATATTTTTGTTTTTATATTATTGCATTTAAGAGCATTTTTTCTAATCATTTACTATAACAAGAAATAATGTACTGAATATAATTTACATAATTCTTTTAGTATATATCTATATATCTGCAGAATGAAATATCCTAGAAGAAAATTTTAGGTCAAATCTATGATAGTATACACATTAGGATAGTCTTTCTTCCTGAGAGGTTGTTCTAATTTATACTATCAACAAACATATATTTATATGTATACTGCTATAAACACATGCATACATACTATACATATATGTGCATATACATATGCTTGTGTGTATATGTATACCTACACAGGTGTGCACATATACTCACACACCTTGTACTTTTGATACTCTAGTTAGACTCCGAGAGTCTATCTATGAGTAAAGATTAAGGACCTCACTTATGTATTTGAAGAGGACTTTACCCCAATTCTTTTTCTGAAATCAGGTCTAAGGGCAACATAATTTTCCCTCAAACTTAGAGCCACTTCTACTTTAGTCATAAAACTAATGAGATATTTTTAAACACTTTTTACTTTTCAAGACATGTAGGGAAATCAAAGTTCAAAAAAATACTGTATTCTTCCTTAAAAGTTGGTTGAGGTATATAATTCTCCAGTTAGATCCAGAGTCCTTTGTACCCATGCTCTGATTTTTGCTTCATTTACATATGTCATCAAGCCCCCATTGGTATGGTCAAGTCTTCAGGTCTAGAAGAAAGCCCCCAGGGTGTATCTGCCTGAGCTTTATCTCTTTCCTTCCATGCCCCACCAGTTACAACGAGTTGCTTAGTAATTAATTTATAGTATTTTGCTTCCTAGAAGAGTATGTGTGAGAGGCACAGAGACTCTTACTATTTTTTTCTGCCCACTTCACACAGTGGCACATAAACTCCTTAATGACCTGCCTTCTTCAAATTTTCCTATCACTTCTAGTGTGACCCTGGTAAAATTAGTTTGCAGTTTCCTCATTTCTCAGATGAGGATGACATCTCTTTAGACTGGAAGAATGTAATGATGATTCCTGCAACAAAGCCAGCTAGCACAGAACCACGGGGCACACAGCAAGCATTTAATACATTTTCTTTCCTATTCTTAATAAATACTAATTTCTTAGACCTGACAATCTGCAATATCTGGGACAATTTTGCAGGGCAGGTGCCAGTAGATTGATTTTATAGATGAGAAACTGAGACCCAGAGAAGTTAAGAGTTGATTGTACCTAATTACAAAACAGGTGAGTTTAAGCCATGATGCCAGTAAGGTCTGTCTGCCTTGAAACTGGTGCTGCTTCCTTTGGTGCTCTTACCATTTCACCTGTGTTTCTCAAACCAGACCATGCCTCTGAACATTTCCTACAAGTTTCTGACATTCTATTCCATTTTTTTCTTGAATTTCAATTATGCATAGAAATTTAGTTATATAAGCAGTGATAATTCACAATTAAAAGGATACCATTTTGTGACTTAACTCACAAGTGCTTCTTAGACTATGATTGACAGACTAATAATCATCCTTGAAAATATTTCACATTTAAGGAGGACTCATATCATACAACACTCCACATTTTAGAAACCTTGAGCTGAGCTATATTGCATTTTCCTCTCTCCTCTTCTTCCCCTCCACTCTTTCCATAATGAACCACAAATCAAAATAGGAACCCCCACAAGAAAATTTGCATTTCTTATTTATAACCGAGACACACCTGGATCAAGTAGTTGAAGGGACCATCCTTTAAAAATATCATGTATTTTTGAATTTACAGGTCTATTTTTCCCAGAAAGGTTTTTCACATCTGCTTTTTTATCCTCTGAGCCTGGTACTTTCATGCAGTAATCCAGGAAGCCATTTGATCTCATTATCTCTGTATAGCCCTTCTCACAACCACAGACTCCACCCTGTAGCATAAAAAGTATTTTTATGGTTACACAGTGAGTTGTGCAGATGAATAAGGAACAATTCGAATACTGAAATCACTTAATTTTTGTACAATGTGTCATGACAATTTAGGGTTTTCAGCAACTGTTTTACCAATGAGATGAAAATCAAATATATAATTCATTTTTTCTGAATTACAAAGTCAATATTAAATAAGTTGTCACATTTTTATAATGTGTTTATAATTTTGACATCTACCAAATATGAAATTACAGCTCTTTGTGAATATATTATATTAACTCTGTCTTCTCCTCCTCTTTTTTTAGAGATGTTTATGACATTTAATCAAATCATATTTGACTGTCCTTGTCCCCCAATTGTTTTAGATATATGTTCATTGGTTCCAACCACCCCTTCCTACTGAAAAGCAAAGCAGTAGGGATTATGTATCTACTTTCTGCAGATTAGGTGCTCTCTGAAGTCTGTAATTACCACAGTTGCAGAATGCTTCTATTACCTCCTACAACTGCCTGCTAACTAGTCCCATCTATCCCTAGTCCCTAACTGCTCATAGGAGTGCAGTCCAAGTGGAAGAAGAGAATTTATTAAAGGAACATATCCAAGAAAAAAGTCATATATCTATTTCAATGACTCTTTCATGTAACAACTTGTGTGTCATATGACATCACCTTCCTCATTGGTACTAGGACATTGTGTCCTTTATATTTGTCTATGAAATTCCTGGTCACTTTCACATGAATGTCTTTAAGAAGTTATGATGAGGTATGATAGACATGGATTCCTATCTATCCTTGGAAGTGAATCTGAAAATAATTGCTCTTCTCCTAACAAACAAAAAACAGAGAATAGAAAAGAAACAACATAAGATTATATATCTCTACTCTGTCTTTGCTATTATGGCTTCTTACTAAAACTATTTATTTGACATTTTACGAATAGACCTTATCCTCTTCTAGCTAATGCCAATCCTCATTAGTCAGCCAGCTTTATTTAGGTCATTAATTGTTGACTAAACATATGATCTGAAGGAGCAATAGATACTGTAACTAAGTAAGACACCTTGATCTTTTCCAAAAAGAAAAAGGTCAGAAAAGCAAATGTTGTAATTAGCTGCCCATCATTCGATACAGGTTGCAGTCATAAAATAATGAAAATTATCATGGGGGTTTTAGCTGGTTTTAATTGAAGTTACCACATGGAGTTCAATGGAGAGATCTAATTAAGAAAATGTGGATATTCTCAGCTATTAAAGCAATCTTTTCTAGGTGGATTTCTGAGAGAAAAGTTGTAACGAGTCAGTCCCCTGTGTCAAGGGTTCAAGGAAAAGAGCAATTTATGTTTTTATTAGAAAGAGAATCAAGGGAGTTGGCAGAAAGCTACAACTTCTATTTTGCAAACATCATTAGCCCAAATGAAGTTGTTACTTATCTTCTGCCTTTTTTCTTCTTCTATTACACCCTGAAAGCTTGCCCATTGTCTTTTCTATGGTAAAGAATTGACATATCTTTAAAGAATTAACCCATTTTGAAGGAGAAGAACCATAAAATAGGATTGAGTGCTAGCATTATTTTTAATCAAATAATTTTTAGAATAAGCACACTCTAGGAAAAAACCTGTTTCTTAAAAGAAATGTAATTTAACTTTTAAAGATTATTTATGTACTGCACATTATGAGTGACATTTATTTGAATACATTACACATTTTGAATTAATTCCTGAGCAGCAGTAGATAGGAGTTATGGGAGAAGAAGGGATGTAAGATTTCTGCTTGAAAACAGACACACACACACACACACACACACACACATTTTTCAACCATGGCAACATTTAGCTTATTTAAAATGAACTAAAAATTCACTCACACCATAATCATCCTGGGGTAATAAATTTTACAAAATAATTTTATCAAATATGAACAGCATTTACATCTTTTAATGTAAATGTATGAAGGCTAAGAATAGAAGACATAAATCGACTAGTCCTAGTAGATAGAACTAATATAAATTAGATATCTGAAAGGTAGATTTGATGATTTGATTATAAATAGATTTATAAGGAAAAGACTGCTTTCCTTAATACATGTAATACTACACAGAATTTCTCATATCTGTGGTGAGTCCTGAAAGTGCCTCTAGATGGTATCATGGGCACATGGAACTGTTGCCTGGGCTGTAGCAGACAGGAGCACATCTAAATGCATATGTGTAACACGACAATTAAAATACCTGTGGAGGACTCCAGCATGTGGCTTACCTGTGTGCAGTAGGAGAAAGGTTTTCTGCAGGCTGGGATACACTGCCGAGTAGCAGCAGGGCGTGCCTGAGGGGAGCAACCTCCTACAAAAGAAATACCACCATCATTTACAGATATCTATACAATAGATAGAAATTTTTATATTTGGGAATATTTTTTGCCCTCTGGCTATGGTCATCTTATAATGATATTATCATTATTATTTTAAATCTACATATCAACAATGTGGTCCAGACCCATCTTATTGATTATACCAGGATGTGTTGCTTCAGATGGGGGATCTGCCAAAAGACAATGTTTATGGTGGAATTTTTTCCATGTTCAATGGCAATGTGGCTACATTTGAGGGAAGAGTCTATGTGTACCAGAATCAATAAAAGAATTGATGAAATGTCAATTTAAGTTCAGGAGCAGAAAATCCAGCTCCTGTAACCCAGCTAGAGACTAGGCTGATTCCAATAATCACATGCTAAAAGAAATGTTAATAGTGAATTGATGGGACCATAGTAACAAAACCTTTGGAAACTTTTTACACATGTACCAGCCAGAATAAATACAAAGAGCCACATATAGAGCCCCACAGAGATTTTTAGAAACAAATACATAAATTCTGGTGGCTGGGATCAGGGGACATCTGACAATGGACTTATAGGATATCAGTAAATCCTTTAGAGTAAATGGGTGGATAATGTATGTTTTTGTAATCTGAAAATAGTCTAAATACTGATCTTGCCTTCTTGAAATCAAGGCAGTACAACAGACATGGGGAAAAGCCTAGAGATAGACTGAAAACTTAACTTATTATTCAAGGGCAGTATTTCAACTATATTTATATAGTATTGGTTGCATTTATAGGTTCTAGTCTTTTTATTACCATAATTTTCAAGAAATCACATTTTATGATTTTTGTAGCTAGCCAACCCAAGGCATTGTAGGGAATACTCAGACCTACGTTTCTCATGAAGCAGCTAAGTTATCACTATTACATCAAAAATAAAACAAATAAACCACACTGAAAAGAAAAACCCTACTATTGAGAATTAGCACTTGGATGTGAAACTGATAATTTGGATGTTAGTGGCCATAACCAACATTATGCTGTCATTATGTTTGGGAAAGGGGTTTCTACTCTTTAAACTGGTGATCTCCAAAGCAAGGTACCCCAGGGCACATCCTCCTGGGGACCAGAAAGAAAATATTGGAAATTACATAGATTATAAACCATGTTTAGAAATTTTAGGAACAAAATTAAGCTCTAATGAAATTTAGCAGATGATACTGGTGATCTGAGCTCATTCATCAGATGGCTGCATGCTGTGCAGAAGGACTACCATGCCGAGAACTTGAGAACCTGACCCTCATCATTATGCCAGCTCTCAGCACTCTGCAGAACAAGAGGTGCTTTTTGTACTCCTGGCCAGGAAGACTTACAGTATATTGAGTTTTAACAACAACTTACAAAATGAAAAGGTAGCTTAAAATAAGTTATTGTATGGATAAACTATGGATTAAAAGAAACATAAATAATGCAAAGACATGTAAACAAGAAAAGGGAGGAGCTGACATCCTTCTATTTCCATAGAAGCTACTCTCACCTTTGAATAAGCTGTTTGTCAGTGGCAGTACTAAGGAAAATCAATGTCAACTTCATTTGCCCTGACAAGAGGCATCAAAAAAATCCTTAAAATTATTGAGGAGACCATCTGTTCAATCAAATTGTATCACTGTTAGGAATGAGGAACCTTTTCTTCACTCTATTTTTAGGTACTAAATAATAACCATAATCAGCAAAATGTTCAAAACTAAGTTTACAGTGCATAAATACAAGCATCTGTTACAGTAAGAACATTTTTTTATCATCAACATAGACAATACTTAATTTTAAAATCTTTTTCAATTTTTTAATTTCATTTTTTAGTATATTTTATAACATAACAGCAAAGCAATGCAGGCTGATAATGTTGGACTATATCCTTAAAACCTTTTGACTGAGAAGGTACATGATTTAAAATTTTAGAGACCATTGTTTTGAACTAGCATCTATCGTTTTGGGGTTTTGTCTGAGGTAATAAAATTTAAGAACATTTTATTGTATTTCAGTTTATTTCTTTAGCTTATATGACATTTTATGGGTCTTCAAAAACAATTGTTTGCTTTTGAACATGTCAAGGTCTAATGAAAATTTGCCAAAAGATCACGAAGCAACCTGCCCAGTCATCCTTTGTTTATAATTTGTAAGGTAATTCTTCTCACAAACTCCACACTCCAAGACCTTTGTGAAGTGTCCACATGCATATTAGGAAGGCATACCTGTGACATTCATGCCATCTGAACGTTGGCACCACACAGTTCGCTCATTATTGTTCCAAAGACTTGCTTTCCATACGTAGTGATAACATTTGCCTCCTGCAGGTGAACAGGGACAACAGAAGTTCTATTAGATCTCACTTCAAAACAGCAGAAGCCTCGTTCAATTAAGGACAAAGAACTGAAAAGTGCTCTGGGTACCTGTACAAGGCCGTGTTTCTAGAACCTGTTGGGGACAGGTGTCTTGATTCTCAAAAGACTGAATTATAAATGTCCTTGACCTAGATTGGCGGCCTGTAGTCTCGAAGCTTCTTCCATCTATGCAGGTTAATTCGCATGTGCTCCATTCTGACCATGCAGTTAAGTGGCAGTCTCCTGGACAGAAAGGTAGCGCAGGGTGGGAGAAACAGCGTGAGAACTGGCACTGAATAAAATCTCCCTGGACAGGACACATACAGAGATCTGTGGTGGAAGTGCAGCGTGGTGGACAGGTTCTAGGTACTGCATATTATACTGGATCAACATCCTAATTAGGAAATACTAAGAATGATCAAGTAATTCACAAAGAGGGGGCCAAAGGCTAGAGTGCCATCACTTTGTTTCAAATCACAGTAGCCATAGCTAGAGAATACTGTGTGTCTGCTAGTGGTAATAAAATTTTTAAAAGGGAGATGTAAAGATTATAGTAACTCAGTATTCAAAGATCAGTGTAACATTGTAAAATGGATGTTGATAGAAACCATATAAAAGAGAATAAGTAGGTCACCAGAATGAAATATCTGTTGGCCTAAAGAATATTTAATTAAACACTTTAAACATACGTAATTTATAAATGTAAACACATTTGCATATTAATTAAATGCACACGTTTGTGTACATATCTGTGTTTCTACATATTACATATACATGTATGTGTATGTACACATACACAGTATGTTATAAGGATATATTGGGTCTGGGGGTGTAATTCAGTGGTATAGTGCTTGCCTAGCAAGCACAGACCCTGGGTTCAATTCTCAGTACTACAAAAGAGAAAAAAAGAATATATTAAAACATCTTAAAGTTATTCTATACAAGTTGTGTTACTAGAATGAAAAACTCATACAGTTTATGTAACTAATGAAAACCTTTACATGTACACAGAACTTGAAGATTTATTGAATGCTTTCACAAATTCATAACCTTACTGATTACCAGACTGTCATTCCCAAGACTGATCCATTCATGGATTAAGTCCATATTCTTTGAGTGTTGGCCAATGTGCTATGGCTGTGAGCCAAACCCATTATCTGGATGGAGAAACCACTGCTCAGAGAGTTAGACTATACATGTTAGGTAAAACAACAATGAAGTGACAGAAACAGGATCCTTAGGTTTCTAATTCAGGCCTTTTTTTTTTTTTCTTTCCCCATTTGTTTACTTCACCTTCATCAAAGCAGTTGTCTGTTCCAAAATGATAATCGCAGTTCAAAATAAATAAAAGTTAATTAAAAACTCCACTTTGATAAAAATAAGGCTTCTCCAGAAAAAAATGTAAATCGAAAAAATAAATAACATCACCATGAACGGTACCCTAATCACTTGGATCACATACCTGGGCAAGGCACAGAGCATGGCTGCTTCAGGATGCTGTCTTGAAAGGGCATTTCTCCACACAGTGAATCCTCGACATGGATAGGCGGATGAGAGATTGAACCATTGTGAACCATACAGGAAGGGCTGCGCACCTGAATTCCTTCCCCACAGTCTCCACCCTGAAAGAAGAAAGGACATTCCCAAAATTGCCCCAGTAATTAACATCTCAAAGTTTAGGTTCCACATGTGCCTAAGAAAACCTTAGTTGCACATTTCAGCAGTCTCCTCTTAGAAGTTCTCTCTCAGTTGTTGACAATACAGCCTCCCTGAGCAATATTTCTAGAGCTGATAAAGAAAATGAAGTAGACATTCAAATTTACGGCCATAGAATTTATGTACTCAGAATATGACTATTCATTGTGGAACTCAGCCAGAATTGACTAAACAAGTAAAAACAATACATAATTTGTGTAGGTGTATGTGGTAAAATGGCCTAATCCATAATTACCTCCCAAAAGAACATGTACAGCCACAGGGCACAAATTTCTCTTTCATTTTTCTTGTTTTTCCTTTGTAGAGAATTCAGTGCTTTCTTATATGGATTAGGTTGGGGTTTCCAGTAAACACTGTTTTTCTCTATTGCCTCAAAGAGTTATTTTTCTAGCATGCCTTCTGTGTCCAATGATAGTCTTTGAGGGTATTTTATACCAATCTCACTCAGATATTCTGGGAAATTAGAAAAATTTTGTATGGTTTCTCATAGAAATAGAAGCTTTTAGTGGTTATCTGGCCCAATCATCTGCTTGATGAAAGGTTCCCTATTATAAAATTTCTGGCAGAAACTCATGAGATGACTATCGTCATCTCAATTTTAGTCAGGTGCTCATACTTCAAATAAAGTCCATTGGATGTTTGGATAACTTCAGCGGATGGCTCTATTTTCACATAGACACTCTGGAAAACTGAGCCCAAGGCAAAGTTTTTATGCTAAGGAGGTACAATCCCAGGTTGGAAAGAGTGAGGGTCACAGTGAATGGAAGGGGGAAAGGAAGGGAGGCAAACACATTTAGTGAGCTCCCAAACTGGCCTCAACTTGATAAATCAGCACAAACAAATCTTGGATACCCAGAACACCTTCCATGCAGGTCATGTGGTACCACCATGTTTCAGTACTACCACCAAGAATGGGGAGGGGAGGGAATAATGGAGAGGCATTGAAATGCTAGCAACTCCTTGGTTCTAGTTCTCATTGATCATTCTATTATTAACTCCTCTGCACTTACAAATTGTATTACCCAGGTTCCACTAAGTCCAGAAGTTGGTGAAGAGTTGGAGTCTTTGTAATTATTACTGCTTCTGGGGTTGCATATGTATGTGTGTGCTGGGGTTGGGGGGAGACAGACAGACAGGCATCTAGTAGAATTTCAGGCCTACAAGTTCTCAGCCTTTGCCCTTTTGCTGTGCAGTCAGAGATGTGGTATACTACAACCCATCATTAGGTGACAGTCTAAGAAATCTAGGCTGCAAAACTGGGTTTGATCTCCTTCTTATCCCTTCCACCCTGTAGAAACTGTACCACATAGACCTTAGGAATGTTGTGATAGGAGAGAAAAAGGACCAACCTGGTCAGCTAAAGCAGTCAAGATAGTGTTGCAGGGCATGGAACCTGTGATCTACAAAATGATGGGTTAGCTGGGTACCAGCCAGGCCAAGGCACAGTGGTAACAGCTGCTGGGCATCAAGGGAATTTCATGGGCTGACTGCTTAAGGGGTAGGATGGCACGAAGTGGCTGCTGAGAAAGATTTTCAACATGAAGGGATTTGTGACTTAAGGATCTGCTGTAACCTTCATCCCACCCCCATCTGTGGCTTCACTTTCCAAGGTTTCAGTTACCCACACTTAAACACAGTCTGAAAATATGAAATGGGAAATTCCAGAAATAAGCAATCTATGTTTTGGATGATATGCCCTTCTAAATAGCATAATAAAATCTTGAGCCATCCCATTTCAGTCCTGCCCTGGATCTGAATCATCCATTTTTAAAGTGTGCCCCGGCTATATGATACTATCTATCTGTTAGTCAGTTAGCAGATATCTTGGTAATCAGATTTGCCATCTTGGTATCACAGTGCTCATGTCCAAGAAACTCTTACTTACTTAATAATGACCCCAAAGAAAAAGATTAGTAATATTTTCATGTTTTTGCAGTATTTTGTTATGTGTTCTATTCTAGTATTGTTGTTAATCTCTTACTGTGCCTGATTTAATTAAACCTCATTGTATGCATTTGTGCATGAATTCAGGCATTCACTGGGGAAGTTGGAATGTATCATGGATAGGAGGGGACTACTATATTGGCAAATAAGAATAGTACATTTTGGGGAAGTCAAAGTTGTAGCAAATTAAAGCCTAAATAACCTGAGGCAGCACATAAATCGGGAACATTAAACCTTCTTTTAGAGATGTTTTAACAGAAATTTTAATTGGTTTAGAAGGATAGCATCTTATTCTGCTCAAGCTGCTATAACAAAATACCTTGAACTGAGTAATTCAGAACAACATAAATTAATTGTTCACAGTTCTAGAAGTAGAAATCCAAGATAAGGTGCCAGCAGATTTGATGTTTGGTGAGGATCTTCTCCTCACAGATGGCTACTTCTATGTGTCCTCACATGGCAGAAGGGAAGAACGAGTACCTCAGGCCTCTTTTATAAGACATTAATCCCATTCGTGATGGCAGAACCCTCATGACCTAATCACCTTCCAAGGACTCTGCCTCTTAATTCTATTGTCTTGGAGGGTAAGGTCCAACGTATGCATTTTTAGGGCACCCAAACAGTCAGCCATAGCAGATGACAATTCCCACACTTGATTTACCAATGTGAGAAACAGAAAGTCTGGTGGTCCATTTTCGGAATACAGTATTTAGTTCTAAATGTCAAATGATTAGGAGGCAAGAAAGACAGGGCAGAATAAAAAGTTTCAAGCAGTTAACACGGAAGTATAAAATTTCGCAGCCTCTTGACAAACAGGAGGTGAGATTCCTGGGCCTAGTCACCTAGGCAGGAAGGGGAAAGATAAGGAGAAGAGGGCAGGAGAACAAAGGAAGCCCAGGACATATAAAAAGGGCAGAACACCTTGCTTCTTGGGATACCAGGAGGTGAGAAGGAAGAGGCCCGACCTGACCAACAGAGATAAACTGAATACTTCCCCAAAGGCTCTCAACCCATGGGGACTGACTGTCCTGCCACAGAGAACAAAAAAGGTGAGGACAACTAAAGGCGTATTTCTTTAAATAAACTAATAAAACCTAGGAGACATTCAGAAAGATCGTGCACACCATAGTACTCAGACAATGAGGAATTAGGAGAGGGATCTTGCATGCTAGGGGACAAAATGCTGTTTATACCCAATATGTGTCCCTGGAGCATCAGGTACCAGAGCTTGCAAGATCTTCATTAAAGTAAAGTCTCACTTTTCATTGTATCTTGTGTGTCTTAGTCCATTCTTTGGGCTTCAACAGGTGAGTGTGTTTCTTATACTAATTATAATTGCTCTGATTATTTGTATAGTTACTTTGAAATTTTTAAAAAACACCATAAGTTAAAAACTAACTGCATTTTTTTTTTTTTTTTAGTTAATAGGAGGTTCAAAATCAATTGATAGTTTCATTCAGAAAAGATGTTCTGGTCAACCTTTACTCTCTAAAATGGAAAATAACATTTAAACTAGATTTTCTTTTTTTGGAGGGGGGGTATTTCCTAACTTATTATCCAGATGATGAATCTGTTAGTGAATTTTCTAGATAAAGAAAAGAAGAATCCAAAGATACTGCAGCATGTGTGAAGTCTGAAAGTCTGGATATCTGGAACCTCAGGTAAGAGAAGTTGCAATTGATGGGAGTTTTGTTCGACACTCCATGAGGCAAAGTGTGAAAAAATGACAGGAAACAAGCCTACACAGGGATCACTTTTAAGACCAAGACAAACAGCAATAGTCTCCTAGTATGTATCTTGGGATCAGCCTATATTCAACCTTAATCTCTTATACCTTTGACAACAGCTACAATATGAAGAGAAATCGGTATCAGAATGATAATTTCATTCATAAAACAAGCATTCACTCAATCAGATTCACACACTTGAAAACAGACTGGGCTTCTTAGAGCAAGATTATAAACAACCAGGATTCTCTCACAACCTTCCAAGGCCCACATCATTAATGGAGGTTTTCTTTTTACTGAATTGGCATCTCAACCAGATGCAGATAGGCAGATGGAACTAATAAACATAATCATACTTTTAATTAAAATAACAATAGCGACCACAATTTATTGAGCTCTTTTTTATGTCAGGTACTAAGTACTTTATACAATTTATCTAATTCCTACCAGAACCTCATCAAAATAGGCACAATTGGCCATCCATAGTGGGGTGGGGAGGTCCACATTCTACAATTACAGATTCAGCCAGCTGAGGATTGAAAAATGCATTTTTAGAAAACTGCATCTGTATTGAACATGTACAGATTTTCCTCTTGTCATTATTTCAAAAAAAGTACAATATAACCACTCTTAACAGAGTATTCACATTGTATTACTATTATAAATAATCTAGAGATGGTTTAAAATTTTGGGGAGAATGTGCGGAGGTAATATCGGGTATATCATTTGATATGAAGGACTTGAGCTTCCATGGATATTGGGGTGTGTTTGTGTGCTGGACCATTGAGGAACTTCCAGAACCATTGAAGCCAGAATTAGACAGGCAATCAGTACAGATAGGTAAACTGAATCAGGTCCATCAAGGAGGCCAATTTTGAGTGAGTCCAGCAAGTTGGAGACTGTCCCCCAGGGACTGAAATGTTAATTCCTTCAGAGCCCTTCCTCCACCTTATATAATTATAATTCCTTCAGAACCTCCCCCTGCTGCAACCTGTTGCCAAGGTAACCTTTCCCAGGAATTGTGCCTTCCTACAGGGAGCTATAAAGTTGTTAAGGTGTCCTTGACTGCTCCATCCAGCCCTTCCCCCTCAGCCCACCAGTTTCCCACCTTTTGGCCCTCCCACTGAGGATTCTTGGGTGTACTCACTAGGCAGGAAGGAGAAAGTTTAGGGGAAGGGGGTAGGAGAACAAAGGACACCTAGAACACATAAAAAGGGTAGAATACCTCGCTTCTTGGGATACCAGGATACCAGCTATGGCCCCCTTCTCCCTCAAGGAAGAAGTCTGCTACTTCTTTTTGAATAAACCCTGCTTTATATGCTTGCCTCAGTGTGCTTCTCTAATGTTCAAACTTCAACATTTGAGGGATCAGAACTCGGTAACTGGCAGTATCACCATGACCAAAATCTGCTGGACTCCAGAGTCTTGAGTTCCCTGCATATGTGCGTATACACATTAGCAGCTGAGAAAACAGGAATACAGTTAGGAACTACTAAAACAAAAGTGATGCATGAGGATAAATACTTCCTTTTGCTAATATCTTTCCATAAGAGATAGTAGTGGAATTGGCACACCACTGCGCTTTATGTAAGCTTCTCTTATTATGCCTTGGTACCTCAGGATGGCAAGCAGCCACCAAAATGTCATCATCACCCTCAATGAAAGAGCTCCTAACCTGCATTTGGCATGTCAGGGCATGCCAGGACATGGAGAAATAGAAAAGCAGTTGCAGAGAGATGTTCTTCCTTTGTGGGAGAGGCCTGCTTGTGTTTTGAGCAGTAATGCCAAAAACTCAGTTTACACTTAACTTGAAGAAAAGACAATTCGTTGAAAAGATATTGTATTATCTATTTCACGAAGAATTAAAAATCAGGCTTTAGGAAAGTAAGAATGCATCTGGAACTCAGGAAGAAATCAGCTCCAATATAGTCAAGATTCCCTTTGTCTTTGGCCTTTTCTTTCTTTTGTGTCCTCTAGTTTGTGCTTTCTTGCTTCTGAGTAACTTGACTATCTATAAGGCAGAAAAAGTCAGCAGCTAAGAGGGCCCAATTATAGTATCTTATAACAGCTTTAAATCTACTTCAAATTCTTGGGAAAGAACCTTGATTGGCGGTCTGTAGGCAGGGTGGGTACCCAGAATAATTAACTAGAGACTTGATTTTTGAGGGCTTTCAGAGTTTCTTCCTGACTGGAAGTGTCAAGGAATAAGACTAACCCCATCTAGAACCTGAGGCAACTCTGAGATTTCTGGAGGCAAAGTCAGTCACCTTTTGTGGGTATCTGGAGCCTCTAAAACCAGGTCTCTAAAATGTGCCACAACCCTCTACCCACCACCAGCACTATTACAGAGAATGGTCACAGCCCATCACTCTGTCCCTGTGTTTCTGGCAGAAGCAGCTCAACATTTGACAGCAAAACATTATATTTGGCATTTTCCTATAATGTTCCTATGAGACAAGTTGGCAGACTGGTCTATCAAAAACAAAAAGATGCCTGTCACCTGAGAAGATGAAAAAAAAAAAAGAAGCAGACAGAGGTAGTTGTGTGCCTGGTGAGGTGGGGAGCAGAGACCCTGTCATCAGTCCTCTGCAGACCATTACCTCCCTCTTCCCTCCTTCTCTTTTACCCCAACTTTCATTCCTCTCCCTTCCCCAGCAATGGCGCCCTGAATTATTTGAACTTCTTTTCTCTATTCTGTCAAAGCTACCACAACTGGAAGGGAAACTATACCTTCCATTTCCTCAATTGTAAATGATACTAAACAACATTTAAAAATTAAAGACTTAGGAAAGAAGATGTTTAGACTAGTAGAGAAAGTATTAATATTTAAGGCTATTAGGTTACTTCTAAATCACCATCACAGTTACCTTATTTTCCATAAAAAGAAGACTGAACAAATGTACCTCACATTTTTGCTCCTCTGGGACCTATTAAAATACATGGGCATTTACTTCTGAAAGATAATAACGTTGCATGACAATGTCATTCTGACAGGAGCACTAAACATCTCTATGAGAATACTCTGCAGATTTCTTAATGCGTAGTCAAAATTACTATTACCTAATTAGAGTATGTTTTGGAACAGAAATAGAAGGATAAACTAGTAAAATAGAAAAGAGGGAAAATCAATGCACTTTTTTTTTTAAGCAAAAAGCCAGAGAGAACGCGCAGTAGAGGATCTTTGCTGATCCAGCAGAAGCTCTGGGTATGTGATATATTATGATGTTGCTAGGCATTTATACTTTAGGCCAATAAAAAAGTAATCATTGAGGAAAATGTAGTAACCTTGGTTCGCGTAATAATGTTAAAATATAACTTTCATACACTTTTCGTTTTCTGCTCTTATGCAAGATTTTGTCTAAGCCTAAAGTGCCTATGTAAGAAATACAGTCTAACACAAGCTGTGCATTTCCACAGCATCAGACTTTTGCCTAATTAAATACTATTTTGATATTCCCAAAGAAGCCAAAAAAATAGCATAGAATTATTGAAGATGCCAAAGAGATTGACAGCCCCATGACCCAGCTTAGTATAATCAGTGCCTAATGAATAGCTATTTATTTTCTTAGCAATATCACTTTGCATGAGGTTAAGTCACATGTGTATTTTTCTATGTTCTCTGTTATACTAAAAGTACAGTGTGTTAGACCCCTGGTGCTATGAAATTTATTCTATCAGCGCTTTTGACCAGACAAGTGCTTTGGATATACTGAGAAGCATTTCTCTAAGTGTCATTACATGACCTACCTCCAATTTACATGCAGACCAGTTGCCAAGGACCCAGCTGTAGCAGGGGGTCACTGGGCAGGTTTTCTGCTGGGTAAGCTGTGTGGGGCATGGCCGTCCTTCTCCTTGGGTTGGCATAATGATAAATCGAGTCCGGCTCATTCGACCTAAAATGATAAGGGATGTGGTCAGCTTTTCAGTTATAGTTTGACTTGGAAAGGGAGTTGGAGGGAAGGACGTTGCCTTACATACATAAGTCTTCATTATAATACACCAAACTCTGTCCAGTCACCCCTTGAGTTTCCTGCCATTTTAATTTAGATTTCCACAGACACACAGGCGATCCACGTCTTCATTATGCTTTAAGGATCCAAAATTCTGCCTGTCTTCTACTTCTTTCATCTTCCCAAATCCAAAAATTATATTGTTTCCAAACAGACTGATTGTGTAAACACTGGTCGAATGTAAATTTATTTAACAAATGATTACTTATTAAGCTCTCGCATGATCAAAGCATCTTGCTCTGTGCTACGTGCAGCGGCAACATTGTCAGATGTATCTTCTGCCCCCACAGACATTATCTTTTAGGTAAGGATTATAAATATTAAACAAAAATAGAGAAAGTTGCATCTGTTTGGGTTTTTTTGTCTCTTACATAATAAATTAGGTATAAATCACAAATAATCCAAATTAGTCTAAAAAGTTTTATTGGAAGGTACCCCCTTGAGGTCTCAATCATGTTCCTCAGTTAGTTCAACATGGCCAATTTTCCTAGAGATTGAAGATCAGTTTCTTCCTTCATTGAACAGAAGAAAAGGTTTGTTGGTTTATATGAAAGAACCATGATGTTTGAACAACATGTCATCAAATGCTCACATTCCATTCCACAATGAAAAATGGTTGGATAATAAGAGTGGCTGAAGAGAGAAGAGGTTCTCTTTATCATCTTATGACCACTCCTGGTATCAGATCGTTAGCTCAAGTGGATTTGTGGATAAAATAACCGACACTATTTGAATCTCTTTCTTTCTTTCTTTCTCTCTCTTTTGTACTTTCACTCCTACTCCTTTTTTTTTTTCTTTTTACTAAGGAGCTAATAAGTGCATTTAACTTAATTACTATAATTTATTGTGTGAATATGCTGACCTTCCATTGATGTAGTAAAATTAATTATGTCAGGGGGGCTGGGGATATAGCTCAACTGGTACAGTGCTTGCCTCACATGCATGAGGCCCTGGGTTCAATCCCTAGCACCACAAAAAAGAAAAAAAAAAGTTAATTATGTCATTTTTTTGTGACAAATATTAAAGGAAAGACAGAGGGTTCTGTGGGAACAGTTTATTCTGGAATGAATCCTTCTCCTAAGAGGCTGGACTTGAAGCGGATACCTGAGGCAGTAGTAAGCCAGACGTGATGTGAGGAGAGTATGTCATGAGAAGAGGTCACGAGACACAAGGGAGTGTAACACGCCTGAGGACCCAATAGGCCAGTGTTGGTGAAACAGAGAATGAGGAAGAGAAGAGCTTTACCTAAGTTTCTATGTTTATATCATAAGAGAAATGGAAAGATTTTCTATTAGAGATTATCTATGATAATCTGAGAATACCCTTGAAGAGAATTTGGAAATTCTAATCGCTGGGTTTTAAATTTCTTTAAGTTCAAGTTTCTATTCTTGGCATGATTCTTCATATATATTAAGTAGCAATTGAATATTTGCTTAACTCATATTTTTAGAAATGTTTTCATGATATTAAGTTCTCTGAAAATGTGTGATAATATCGTGATATCAGTGACACTCACTGAGCTGGTATCCTGTATGCTAAGCAATATTTTAAAACATTTTATAGGCATTGTCTGACGGACTAACTGAATGGTCAGAAAATCCCTGCAGAAAATTCTATTATTTTGCCATATTATAGATGAGGAAAGTGAAGCATGAGACATTGAAGATACTTATCTGAGGTCAGAACACTAGTGAGTTGTAGAATAGGATTAAAACCCAGGATGTTTTGCTCTACAAGCTGCAGCATCAACTGTGTTCCTGGGAGGACACAGGCCAGAGAGCAGGGAGAGCTCCTTCTCAGATATTTTATGAGAAAAAGAAACTTTGGATGAGGGTAAATTTTGCATCAGCGATAATCTGGGCTTGGTGAACCACAGAATCCACCCACTCTTTATCCTTAGGTACCCAGCTTCTGAGTGGAGCATATGTGTTTGGGCAGATGTTCTCACCAGCATCACTCGAATCACATTAGAGGTGAGACCTCATTCATTTGAAATGCTGTCTCTGCCTAATAAATACATTTGGCTCAAGATTTTACAATAATTCTTGCTCAAATACTCCCCAGTTTTAATTTTTATGTTTATTCTCTTGACCTAAATGCCTATTATCCTCATGTCATCATAATTACATTGCTTCCTAGCCATCTTTTAAAATATTGAAAATGTGGCATTGCTTTTATCACAAAGAGGCTTTATTTGATTTTTACCAGATAACTTAAGTATGTCCTTAAATTAATGGCATGCTGAAGGTCAGTATATTAGAAGCATTTTATTTATGACCACTGTAATGAGACATGTGTGTGTGCGTGTGTGTGTGTGTATAGGAAACCTAATGACCAAATGAATTCAATAGGAAAAAAAATGATGCCATAATTATTACTTATATTGTTGTGCTGGAAATTGAACCTAGGGCCTTGCATGTGCTAAGCAAGCACTCTACCACTGAGCTTTATCCCCAGCCTGTTATCATTTTAAATAGTAAAATCTTATGACCATTCATTGGAGTCATAACCAAATGATATTTACATCTTTTGCTATTCAAACACAAAGCTCTTTAAACAATAATCATTACTTCCATGACTTTTTTTAAAAAACTGAGAGAATAGCCAATCTATATTCGGAAGTATCTTGTCATTTATAATTGCCTATTAAAATTCAGTAAAAAGTATTGCAAATAAAGAAATGAGAGGGTAAACAAAAACTAATAGATCTGATATTTTTGTGGGGTACTTGAAATCTTCCAGTATGTTTCTTGTTTCTTTTAAAGTCAAAGGTATTTTGTTTAAGTTAAATAACCTGAGAGAGGATCCCTCAAATTAGAGGCTGTCGCATATTCTGTAGTTATAAATAAAAATCAAGCAACACAAAATGCAGATCCTCTATATGTGGGGACCCAACACTTCCCAAGGTCAAACATTACTCAACCAAGCCACTCTCTAAGCAATGATTAATCTGTTAGGAACCTCAAAGAGCAGGAACCTGGACGCATTGTTCTTGTGATACTAGATTTTGATGGAAGAGAGAATCAGTGGTCAAATTAAAGGCATTTAAAATTATGATGGAGTCGAACATAAGAGGAAGAGTATTTTAAAACAGCTGATGTATGGTATAAAGAGTACTAGACTTGGCATCAAAAGTCTGTAGTTGGAAATAGTTCTCTGAAATTAACAGCTAGAAAATGACGTGACTGCATAAAAGTAGTGTAATTCTTCTGAGCAAGAATTTCCTCTTCTAAAAAAATACAACTAAGCATACAGAAAGTCCTTGTTACAAGAGGATAATTCATGTTGGGAAAAGTGTCACTTAAAAGTGAATCTCTTTTAAATGGCAATTAAATTATTTTTAATAAGTAATGCAAATATTTAAATGGGATTTTTTTCTGGAACTAACAATTATACAACTGGGTTAATTTAATCTAATATCAACTGCTATACAGATTATAATTACAATTATGCACTCATTATTAGAACAAAGAATAAAAAGCCATTGAACATTACTTATATAATTTTATGATTGTACTATTGAAAACCCATGTTTCATGACTGACATTTGCAGCTTGATCACAATGCCTTTGGCCTTTGAGGCACTTTTCAGCAATATTCCTTGACCTCCCTTTACTGTCTGGTGGGAAGCCCTCTCCATTGTGTAGCTCCTTTTGTTGTGGGTACACATTCCATTTGTCGCCAGAGATTGATCAACAAATCTCAATAAGCAATGACAAAATACATGTGTTAATGATGGATGCTGACTGATGGAGGGAAGGATTTTTGTAAATGATCAGCTCTTTAGTGAATACTTTTATATTAAGTGGGATTTTGTTTCATGTAGAACTCACAATGATGGAGATTCAGGTAAAGAATATTCAGATGATGGGGACTAGTTGGATATATTTCCCATAGGTTGTATGATTAAAATAAACATTTTATAAATAGCACCTTATAGAATATTTAAAATATAGAAAATGCTTGTTAAAGTATTATTTCATATCAGTTTCTAAAACTTTAGAGTTTTAGAAACTGATATGAAATAGTACAATATGGGCAATACTGTTCTTAGCTGTATTTTTCTGGGGTTTATTACTAAATGCACACAAATTGAAATTCATAATTATTCATCCAGTTCCCAACTCACCAAATCATTTACACTCTATCCTGGACTCCTTCTGCCCACAGAGTAAGAGTGAAGCTTATTACCATACATATGCTTGTGCTTCCAAAATGTAAGCAGGCGAATTTCCTTGTCCACTCTCTGGATTTTTTTTGTTTATAATAGTTTTTTTCAATAAAAGAACAAGATACAAGTCTAGCCATCTCTAGGAAACTTAGTTCAATGATAAAGATGGACACTATACCTGATAGGCAATGCCAAGTGTTAGGCAGAACTTGACACAAGGAAAACCATTTTTAAACATATTCTCCATCTTAGAGCAAGAGTCATCTCAAGGTCACTCTGACTAAACCCCAGATAATACTCCATCGTCTTGCGAAGAAACCCCAAACACTCCATTATCTAAGAAAGGAAATTGTTATCTGGGACTAGAATCCGGAAAACATATAGTTTATCATGAAGGTGACACCACAAGGACCCTTCCCTGACAACTCCCTAGCAATGGCCTAACTGCAAAATCCCCCACCCACAGCAGAAGACCAATCTCAGTCTCTACTGGGCCTCCCTCTGCAGGTGCTCCCAAATAAATTTGCACATTACTGTGGAGTTGACTCTCTTCTCTTGCTGACTTCTTTCCTTACACCAATAAAATGAAAGAACTGAAGCGGACTTTTTCTCTACTCATCCACTACCTACATAAAGTGTTTTCAATTTAATATAGACTTAAATTATGGTAGGATAAGATTACTATTTGCTAGAAATTCATCTCTCTGAGCCA